GTTTGAGTAACCCAGTACAAGGTTGAGAACACTATTCTAAGGGGGCCAGGAGCCCAGTGTAGGGCAGAGCTGAGTCTGCCCTGAGCCTGCCTTATTGGGATTGCCAATAAGGGAGAGGGGTTCCATGGAAAGTGGTGAGAGAGGACTTGCTGATGTGATGGTGGGCTCCTGAAATCTTCCTCGATTCCAAAATGTGACTGAATTACTTTGGAATGTTATGGCAAAAGTTCACACTTTAGCTATCATGGGTGTTGAGCCAATAGACACAACCAAGCCAGAGATCTGGAGAAGGAAGGATTAATTATTGAAGCAAGTAAGGGAACACTGGGAATCTCACCCAAACCAGTGCCTCCCCAACAGCAAAATGGGGGAAATTTTAAGCTAAGGGTACATCCATATTCCATTGGAAAAGACCCTGATGCTGGGAAAGACTGAGAGCAGGAGGAGAAAGGGACAGCAGAGGACCAGATGGTTGGATGGCATCACTGACTTATGAATTTGAGCAAACGTCAGGAGGATGTTTGCAAACTAGTGGAGGATGGAGGAGCCTGGCATGCTGCAGTCCATGGAGTCACAAAGAATTGGACATGACCTAATGACTGAACAACAGTATTCATATTCCTGCAGGGGCTTGAGCAGAGGAGAACTCAGCATAGAATTGTGCTGTAAAGATAACAGAATCCAAGCTTTAGTTAATTGAAGTCAGGAGACTCAACATCATCATTCCATCCTCCACCTGGGTGGGGGACTTAGTTCCTGCAGGTATGTGAGTCAGTTAGTTGCTCAGTCATGTCTGACTCTTTGCCACCCCATGGACTATAGCCTGCCAGGCTCCTCTGTCCGTGGACTTCTCCAGGCAAGAGTATTGGAGTGGGTAGCCATTCCTTTCTCAACCCAGGTCTCCTGCATTGCAGGCAGATTCTTTACCATCTGAGCTACCAGGGAAGCCCTTCTCAAAGATGTTTTGTTATTATTATGTCTGTCCCCTGAGGAGGAACTAGGACTCTGCTTTGTCACTGCACTATTGTTTGACCGCCTTTTTCTGTTTCTGCATTCCTTGTTTTCCATGATTACTGAGACTTGTTCAAGGGCAAGCACTGTGGCCAGACTCAGATCCCAAAATGGCTTAGGACAGAGTGGCTTCTCTTTTGTCAAGAAAGCTGTCCCTGGGTTTCTTTCTCCAGGGATCCCCTAACCTATCTGCTTACAATACCAGATATGAGAGTGGGGTGTCCTTCATATGAAGAAAGTTTTCCAACTTTCCTGATAAAAATTGGGTGTCCAACAATTCAGTTCAGTTCTGACACTGGTTCTCTGGAGTTAACATCTGATTCCACAGGCTAAAGCGCTCAGTCCCACAAGATTGCCCCCACTTCAGATGCCAGTTTCAAGTCCTCAGCCAACCATATGTCTCACTGACCAGCTGTAAAGTCCAAGGGTTCCCACAGCCCCTTTTCCAGGTTTGATAATTCACTAGAAATACCAAACAGAACCCAGGAAGGCACTTCACTTTCTAGTGTCAGTTTATTATACATGATACAATTCAGAAATAGCCAGATAGAAGAAATGCTTGGGGCAAGGTATGGATTACATGTGTGTGGGCGCCCAATTCTTCCATGGCTTCTGCAGCAAAACCATGCTCCCAGTACCTTTGTAACTGAGCAGGACGCCATGGGGCCTCCCAGGACAGACCCCCCACCCGCTGCCCCATATTCTCTGCTGTGGGTCCCCTCTGAAGTACCTAAATAATAGTATCTCATACACATTTCCTGAGTTTTTCAGATGCTAGAAAATCACAACTAAATGGAAGAACTACTTGATTAATCAGAAGCACAGAGCCCCCAGACCTTCTGGCCCCTAAGAACAGATGCTGTTCACCACCCATCAACCAATCAGAGTTGTGCGGGAGCTGATCACACACCCTGGGACACCCCTCCCTCACCTGACCTTTAGAAATGCTTTGCTGAAACCTTCAGGGAGTTCAGAGTTTTGGGGGGCAGGGGGCATGAGCCACCCTTTCTCCTTGCATCGCCCTGCAATAAACCTTTCTCTGTGCCAGATTCCAACATCTCAGTTTCTTGGGCCTCGCTGTGTGTCGGGCACAGGAATGTGTGTCCAGTAACAGATGCACATGTAACTAATTTTAGGGAGCCCCTGCAATCAGATTTTTCTCAACCAAGAGTCGAGTGCCTTAGTTGCACTGAGAAGGAAAATCCTTTCATGTGGCCTTTCTTTCCTTAAGTACTTTCAATCATGTCCTCTGAGATTTAATATCCTTTTGATCTTCCCAATCCAGTTTTAATTGGGTCAGTTTAAGTTAGGGAAGGATTTTAAAAGACAGCACTAATAATGGAGCAGTTGGGATGATGTAGATAGGAATAACTGGTTGGAAATGTGCTTCAGTAAACGTTTTTTTGTTTTGTTGTGGCTTGTAAGATGCAGTCTGGAGGGAAGTAAGCTGTAATCCATTTCTGTTAGTGTTTGCTACATTTTGTCATTAAGTAAAGCCTGCAATTCTACTGACAAACACTTGTGCCTTGGCAATATATTTGTTCTGTTCCCCTTCAGTAGGAAGCCTGATTTGTTTTTTTAAGTAATGTTTTAAGACATGTGAATTTATTTTATTATTATTATTTTTTTGGCCATGCCATGTGGCTTGTGGGATCCTAGTTCTCTGACTGGGGATCAAACCCATACCCCCTGCCTTGAAAGTGTGGAGTCTTAACCACTAGACCACCAGGGAAGTCTCAGGAAACTTGATTTGTAATAAAAGGTAAAACCAGTGTCTTCTCTGTGAGTAAATTGTAGGAGAATGGTGGATTATTTGGCCTAGACATGTTCTTTCTTTGCTAAACAATGTTTAGAGAGCCTTTGTGTAGAGCTTCACTGTTCTATGTGATAGCCACTAGCTACTGGCACTTGATATCTAAAATTAAATTTTGAAATTCAGCTCCTCAGTCTCACTGGCCACATTTTCAGTGCTCAATAGCCACATGTGGCTAATGCAAGATTGGTGGTTGAGGCCAGATAATTGTTTGTTGGGGGGAGAGGTGCATCCCGAGCATGTAAGGTGTTTAGCATCACCCCAGCTACCTACCAGATGCTGGTAGGACTCCCTAGTCATGACAATCAAAACTACATGTCAGGATTGCCAAACGTCCCTTGAGGGGCAGTCACCCCTGGTTGAGAATCACTGGCCCAGTGGCTACAGTTTTGGGACAGTTGCAGATGTAGAACATTGCCATCATCATAGACTATGCAATTCTAGAATAATTCTTAGCAGAGTTTGGCTTTGGACATTTTCTAGATTAAACCTTTTAAGTTTTAGAGCAAGGACACTGATTTTTCAGTTCAAAGCCTTGGGAAACTGAGGCACACACAGGTTTTTTTTTTTTGTTTATTTGTTTGTTTTTCGGGTGACTTAATATCTGAAGCATGTAAGTACCCCTGTGGTATTCTGGACTTCGTGCAGCCTAGAGGACAGATGTATGATATTCATTCAGACCTACTTCCCTCTCGCTGTGTTCTTGGACTCAGTGATGGCAAGGAGAAGGAGGACTTCCCTTTCATGGGGAAAGGAGAATGTCCTGAGAAATGGAAGATGTCCAGCCCTGAGACTCTCAGAGAAGCAAACTTCTGACTTAAGCCCTGAGTTACCTCTTCCGTGGCCTGTGGCTTTCTCGAAAGCCCTGCCTCTAGGCTAGGGTTGGAGGGAGTGCTGCTGGCCCCACCCTTGCTCTAAGAGAGGCACAGTCTTACTGAGTTTTCTGGTTCCATGAATGCAGAGAGATGCAAATTGTCCTGAGCCCATGGAAGACTGCAGTCCTTTAAAAGATTCCCTCTTGTTACTTTTAAATCTCCAGTGTCTCCTCTACATTTTCCTGGAAGTGGTCCAGGGCAGAGTCTTTAACATGAATTGCCTGGTGATTCTTATTTTCAGGGTCACAGGGAAGCAGCCAGCCCTAGAGAGCTGTCTGTAGAAAGTGCTGGGGAGAGAGGAAGATTCCCTTTCAGGGCAGAGGTGTCCATCCCTAGAGGCGCCAGAAAGTAGGCTTAGCAGGGGTGCGGTGGGGGTGTGTCTGGAAAGCAGGCTGGGCTCGCAGTTTCCCAGGGTCTCTTCCTCCTCTGTGAACCCTACGTGCCTCACACATCTCCTGTTGACTCTTCTGCCATCACGAGTTTGTTCTCTGCTCTAAAATCTTCAGTGGCTCACTGCTGCCCTTCCATGTTGGACATTTCTTAGTACTCAAGGCTCTTTTTGCTCTGATATCAAGATCTTCTCTATCCCTTAATAAGATTAGAAATTAGTTTTTGTGCCACCGAAAGCTTTCCTGTTACTGCCATTTGCAGAATGATTCTCTCGGGGCTGAGGGTCCATGGTGGTGGACACTCTGCTCAGGGCCATTTGATGTGTAATAGCTCGTTCAGGAGGAAGTTTTGTTTCTGGTGAGACTCTGTTGAGTTGGAAGCCTAGAGAACTACTTAAAACCAGCATACGACTCAAAACTGCAGTAAACTGGCCAGGAGCGGTGACGGTGAAAGCAGACGGGGTTGCCTGTGTCAATCCTCAGGCTGCCTTGGGCTGGTGGCCAGTTGGTCCTGTCCCCTTATGGGTCCAGTGAGCTGTGGACCAGGTCAAAGGTCAGTGTTCTGCGGTGCCAGCTGTCAAGTTTAGCCGCAAATAAGCTAATGTGTAAGCTGGCCTCTTGGTCTTTGAAAGTTGCTTCATCTTGCCCATTTCAGTTGAAAGAAGTTGCTTTGTTTCAGAGTTTGGTGACCAGCCGCTATTTCATTGAACTGTGGATGTTTTCTTTTGGGAAACCAGTCCTTTTGGGTGTCTCCATGGTGAAGGGAAAGGTATTTTTAAAGTTGCCCACTGCGGGGCATGTTCTCCTTTGAGTGACGGGGAGGGTGGAGAGCCGGGAGGTTCGGGATCCTGGCGGCAGGATAGCCGTGGCTGCTCTCGCTTACTGGCTCTGCGTGTCCGCTTTGCCCCACAGACCAACGAGTGGAACAAGAACGATGACCGACTGCTGCAGGCCGTGGAGAATGGAGACGCCGAGAAGGTGGCCTCGCTGCTGGGCAAGAAGGGGGCCAGCGCCACCAAGCATGACAGCGAGGGCAAGACCGCGTGAGTTAGAGAGATTGGCTTCTGACAGCTGCTCCTGGGTTCTCAGCTTGTTCTCTGAAGTTCTCAGGGTCCCTGGGGACACTTTGCAAGTGCATCTAGTACTATCCCCACCGCCCACCCCTTGTTAAAATATGTAAGAGGATATTTTCATCTAGTTCCTCTCTCTTCAAGTTCCAAGTTTGAGTTTTGCCTTGAATGGTTACATTTGTTCCTGGTGTAACCACAGATTTTGCCAAAGAACAAATAGCACCAGCCTTGTAACCAGCTAACTGATAGGTGGGAAATGAATCCGATCCCAGATTAGAAACAGCGTAAAAGAGAAAGTTTTTTTTTTTTTCATAACCTTGAAACCTTATTATTTATAGTATTTGTTGTTCAGTTGCTCAGTGGTGTCTGACTCTGTGACCCCATGGACTGCAGCACGCCAGGCTTCCCCGTCCTTCACCATCTCCCAGAGCTTGCTCAAACTCATGTCCGCTGAGTCAGTGATGCCATCCAACCATCTCATCCTCTGTCCTTCCTTACTCCGGTCATCTTACAGAGAGGTTATTGACTTTAGATTTCTAATCTGGACTTTTATCAGCTAGGATTGTGTAGTCCTCGCACCTCAATTTCTTCACTGTACAGTGGAGCTGACAGTATTCAGCTTCTAGGGTAGTTATGAGAATAAAACAAGATACTGGCCTTGGTTGGGTGACCCCAGAAGCAGGCTGTGAGGTGTGGATTTGAGTGTAAGAAGTTTTTATAGCCCATGATCTCAGCAAGTGGACAGTAAGGGAATGAAGCCTCTATAGCATGTTATTGACAGGTTACTGCTTTGAGCAACTGAGACTCATTCCCACTGAGGACCTCTGGGAATCTGTCTAGACTTAGAGCAGGGGTTGGACAACTATGGCTCAACTGTCTGCCTTTGTAAATCGGGTTTTGTTGGAACGCAGCCACACCTATTCATTCAACCTTGTTCGTGGCTGCTTCTGCACTGCAAAGGCAGATTTGAGTCTTAAGACAAGGACCGTGTATCCCATAAAGCCTAACATTTTAACTAGTTTGCTTACCCCAGGTGTAAAGTATGCTTCAGAGTTGTCCCACCCAAGGGGTAAGGAAACTGGGGTATCTATTCCTGGTCTCCTGACACTGCAAGGTTGAGTGCCTTTGCTAGGGGTGACAACGCTCATGGCCAGAACACCTCTGAAAGGATGAAGGAGGGGCACCTGGAGCCACAGATGCCAGGTGTAAAAAGCTGCACAGTGCCCAGCCCACAGTAAGCACTTGATAAAGCCAGCTCCCTTCCTTTCTTGTCCTAGATTAGTGACATTAGACTCTGGCATTAGACTCTCCTGGGGTGCTTTTATTTTTTTTTCAACTTCGTTTTTGGTCCTGCTGCACCTCTTGTGGGATCTTAGGTCCCCGACCAGGGGTTAAACTCGTGTCCCTTGCATTGGAAGGTGAATTCTTAACCACCAGACTGCCAGGGAAGTCCACCCTGGGGTGCTTTTTAAAATATGGATGCCACACCCACCCTGATGTTCTGAATCATTTGGTCTAGGCAGAGGACCAGGAATCCATATTTTTAGATTCAACCAGAGAGAACCATTCTCCGGAAATTAGATTGAGTGTAGTTTGAAGCAGAGGTATCAAGAATAAATGGCAAATTGTCAGGGAAAATTGTCCCATTTTAGTGCTATGCTACGTGCTAAGTTGCTTCACTCGTGTCCGACTCTTTGCGACCCATGGACTATAGCCCACCAGGCTCCTCTGTCCGTGGGATTCTCCAGGCAAGAATATGGGAGTGGGTTGCCATGCCTTCCTCCAGGAGATCTTCCTGACCCAGGGATCAAACCCACATCTCTTATGTGTCTTATATTTGCGGGCATGTTCTTTACCACTAGCACCACCTGGGAAGCCCCAAATTAACCCCTCTTCCCAGTACCCATTGAAAAGGGTGATCCCATAGAAGAGACCCCCCAACTCTGTTGATTGGGAGCCACAAGGAAGCTCAAGGGGCTAAGCTTTCTGTAGGAACCAGGCTAGCCAGCACATAAAGAGGAGAGAGTACACGTTCTCACACAGGTCAGGGTCTGGTTCTGTAAGAGATGGGCTTGTCCTTTCGACCAGTCACCCTAAGTTGAACTCCAACCCCCAGTCTCAACTTGACTTCCTTCTTGGCAGAGGCCTATCTCAGGTGTGGGCCCAAGGCCATTTCCCTGGGAGCCCCGACTTGCTCGTTGGGGTAGTAGGCTGGCTTTGGGTGTTGGCTAATGTTTTGTTGCATCAGTTGCCTACTCAACCTTATGTAACTGTTAGTTCTTACGTCTCTTGCACTCTAGACTATAATTTCCTTGCTAGAAGGGACTGTGACCTTACAGTTCCCAAGTGGAATTATCTAGCCAGCGGCTTGGTTTGTAGTATGCTTTTTAAAATAATTTTATTTATTTTTGGCTGCACAGGATCTTCATTGCTGCACAGGCTTTCTCTAGTTGCGGCGAGCAGAGACCAGTTTCTGTTGTGGTACATGTGCTTTTCATTGTGGTTTGTCTTATGGAGTACAGGCTCTAGATGCATGGGCTCAGAAGTTGTGGCTCACAGTCCCTAGAGCACAGACTCAGTAGTTGTGGCACAGGGACTTAGTTCTTCTGGCATGTGGGATCTTCCCGGACCAGGGTTTGAACACTGCGTTGGCCAATTCTTAACCATTGGACCACTAGGGAAGTACTATAGTAGATAGTCAATAAATATGTGTTGGATGAGTTAATTAACCTTTTCTTGGGATTCTACATTTGGAGTTCATGTTCTCGGAACTACAGTGGCAGAGGCCACCCTCCAATGCCTGTCCTGAGATTTTTTGCAGTTTGTGTTACTCTGTGTATCACCATACAGTTTTCTAGGCTCCTCCTCATCCCAGTCTGGCTCTGCAGATGTCTGCACAAGACAACCTTTATAGCCACCCCAGAGAAAGGGAAGGGAAGGGAAGTATCTGTGATAGTTTTGTCCAAGACAGTACTCACTTTAAAAAAAAGAAAACTTAGATTAGCAGCTTTGCCATACTTATGATCACCTTGATCAATCTGTGCCTTTTGTTAATAAGATATTCATTATGTATAGACCAGATGGTCAGATTTATTTTCTCTTCTCTCTCTCTTTTAATTGTAAAATATACACAGCATAAAACTTACCAGTTTAACCATTTTAAAGTATCCATTTCAGTGGCATTAAGTACATTCACAGTGTTGTACAACCATCATCATCATCCAGTTCCAGAAATTTTTCATCACCCCAAAAGGAAACCCACACCCATTAAACAGTGACACTCCTTAACTTCCCCTCCCACTCTTCCTGGCGACCACTAATCTGCTTTCTGTCTTTGTGAATCAGCCTATTCTAGATATTTCATATAAACGCGATCATACCATACGAGGCCCTTTGTCTCTGGCTTCTTTCAGATTAATGTTTTCAAGCTTCATCCTTATTGTAGCATGAATCAGTAGTTCATTCTGTTCTTTTCAACTAGAAATGCACACAGCAGTTATAAAAAAAAAATCACCACCTCCATTTAAAAGATGATAAAACTAAGGTCCATGTGACACATCTCTTCCTGAATTAACCCTGAGCCATTTCTAACATCTCTGCCTCTGCACTTACAAGCCACCATTTTTCCCTTCAGTGACACCTAGGTAGAAAACTATAGAGACACTATGCAAAAGGACGAGAGAAGGTAATTAATTTTTCATAAGACATCATCTGCTAACGTTAAACTTTTCTGGTTGGACTGTTCCTTTTGATTTTTAAAGTTATTAACTGATAACGGTAAGAATTTAGTTTTCAAAGCCACCATACAATTAAATCTATCTGGCTTCATATTTTCTTTCAAATCTAATGGTCTTAGTGTTGAGAAGGAAGCGGGGTTGCTGTGGGGTCGGAAATCCTCTCTCTTGTCCCTTCATTTCTGTGTGTGTTAGTCCCTCAGTTGTGACTGACTTTGCCACCCCATGAATGGTAGCCCTCCAGGCTCCTCTGTCCATGGGATTCTCCAGGCAAGAATACTGGAGTGAGTAGCTGTTCTCTTCTCCAGGGGATCTTCCTGACCCAGAGATGAAACCCAGGTCTCTTGAATTGCAGGCAGATTCTTTACTGTCTGAGCCACCAGGAAAGCCCGTCCCTTTGGTACCATGTAATTCTGCAAGGCCAAGTGTCTGCCGTAACAGTGAGCCCCAAGCAGCATTGTTCCCTTGGTTTCAGCATTCTTGCCTTGCAAGTCTGCACTTCTGGCTTTGGTTAGTCTAATCTGTGCATTCCTGCCTGAGTGTATGTGCATGTCCCTCAAGCTATGGAGACTTTGCTGTTCTTGTTCCTGTTCTTTCCATTGAGTTTGGGTTTCTATTGGGTTTGGTGTCAGAAAAATGGGGAACTCCCTAGGAGCAGTTCTGAATTCAGGGCGGGCCAATGCGCAATGTTCCTCCCTCAAGAACTCTGGCTCCATCAGCCCCCTGGAGCTTGCAGGGCCTGCATTTGTTGGAGGGTGTGTATAGAATGTTTTGCATTTATCTCCAAAGGGTAAGACTAGATCACATACCTGGAAGTTAGGTCCTTGACAGGACTTGGCCTCATTCTATGCCCACTCATTAGGATTTACCCTTTGATTTATGCACACCTCCATATCAAACTGAATTTGGAGGCCTGTCTTCTAGTGAACTTTTGTGATAACCCATTTTGTTATCTTGCTCAGTGATGCACAGTGTTTTCCTATTGCCTAACAGCCTGGAGTCCTGACTTTGGCTTTCAAGGGCCTCCTGGTGGCCCTGTCCTTGTTTTGCTGTTTTCTTACTCGTTTCTTCTGCTGGAGGTGGCACTGTCTGCTCCCTGCCTTCCTCTCCTGTGAGACCATCTAGGCGTTTGCCCCAGGTTCTCTAGTCCAGAATGCCTTCCTCCCTGATATTCTCAGTCCTTTGTCTTCTCTTTGAAATACTAGAATCTTGATTGAAAAACTTGATGTAGAAAAGTCT